GGCTTTAGACCGTGCGGACACTGAACACTGCGCTTCCAGGCGCGCAGAGATGCCGCGGCTGTCCTCCCCGACCAAACACTTTCTAACTAGTTCATTAATTGCAGTGCTTATTGTTTCCAGGGAAAGGATACGAGTTACTGCCAAAGGATCCGTGTATCCACAAACCTTGTGCAAGAGTTTAACAGCTCCCATTGAATCTCCGGTTATTTTTAAGGTATGTGCTCTGCTAAATTCACAGTCAAGGGCAAAAGCTCTGTGAAAAGAGGAGTGTGCTGTCACTCAAACTGACACGTTAGCACTCCGCAGTGCCTCTTTTAGGCAACTGGGCAGTTAAAGTGTCTGGAGCAGAGGGGCTTTTACAGACAGGAAAGATGACAACAGCGTCCCTTTGGAAAGCTTGACCACAAAGCCTTACACGTTCATTACAAAGAGCCAGGGTGTGCAACAGATAAGATACTGCTTTAAGTTACAAGGCATCTACTGCTTATGTGCTTTTCCCTCGTAAATTATCGTCCAACTTAAAAATACATATCTGAAATCCTAAGCAGTGAATGGAAAACAGAATATCAAGAAAAAATATGCTAAATAATTAATGCCATCATTAGCTCTTACTCCATTCATAGTCGGCTGGAGGAGCACAGCAAAACCCTGTTTATCAGAACTCGTTTAATCTAAAACTTCCTCATGTTGGAATGTAGGTTACCCAGCTCCTGCAGTTAAGTACGTCCACTGTAACTCTCCCAGCTATTAGAAACCCTCTGCATTTAACTGTTTTAGGCCTCTGTCACTTTTGGGAGAAGCAGAGCTAAACACAAAACAGATTTTCAAATGAAATAAAAATATTTGATAAAAATCTTTAAAACTGCTCAGTTAAGCCAGTATTCAAATAGCACACTCCTACCAAGATAATGTCACCGTTGTACCTCATCCGCTACGGAGCAGATTGGCTGTTCTTGCGTACAGTAAATTTGCCCTATAAACCTTCAATGTAAGCTGTATGGCACAGAGCAAAACACAAAAGAGGATTGAGCCTGTTCTTTACCAGATCGGGTAAGAGAGCCTGTGAGTTTAGATCAGTGATGCTTGGATGTCGGATGTAGCTCGGGAACCCCTTCATGGAAGTAAGTTTTTGCGTATGTACCTTTCACAGGTTGCTGGGTGCTTTTCCTTACAACATACGCATAACCCAAAAGAATCGAACATTTGACCCACTGCAGAGCTTACGTAAACATATCTTTAAAGAGCTTCTTCCATTCATTTCAGGGACAACATGTCTGAGGGAAACCAGAGAGATGATCGCTATCTTTTTGTTTGTTTTTAGCTTGAGTTCTAGCCTTTCTCCTGTTTTCCTTATGGTTTCTGCTGTCCTTACCACTGCTCACCCTCCTCTATTAACGTGCCAAAAGCATGTAGTTATATGTCAAGTAGCAGTGGACTGCCAAACGCAAGTGCATGCTCAACACACATCGAACTCCTGCTCAGTTTAAAATTTAAGTCACTCAATTTAGGAGCCAGACTTAGGCAATGGTGGCTTCTAGCCTTCAATACCAATCTGTGCTTTATTCGTTAGGGATCTAAAAAGAGAAGCAAGGTCCAGTCAGAAACAAAATGAGCATCCTAGAACATTCTCCCACTTGTAGGACTGATTTCAAGCACAATACTTTCTTTAGAGTTTCTAAAGACTTTCTTTCTCATAACTTTTTTTTTCTTTTTTTTTTTTTTTTGTATTCTCCACAAGATTGGAACAGGAAGCCTGAAATGTAAGAAAATAGACTGTCTATGTGGTATTGCCAGTCCCTAGAGAAGGCATGCTACGTAGCCAACCTGAAAAATGTTACAGATCGCCCAATTCTCAGAAAATATGAGACTTAATGATTTCAGTTCTAGGCACAGTTATCAAGAAAGTATCAGCAAGCCAACTGTAGCAGCAGCTGAGCTGAACTGATAGTATAGCTCTCTCCCAGGGGAGTTTCAGGCTTGGTGAAGGCATGAAGACAGCTTAAGTTATGCTCGTGGAAGGTCGTATTTTGGCCATGAGGAGAGGTGAAGGGACTTTTGATACCATCCAACTGCAAGAGTTAAGAGGATTCCTTCAATTTACTGTGTTTATTCCTTGCGTTCCTCCATGGTGGAAGGAGTCAGTACTTCCATCCTGCTCAGTGCCTTGTTTCAACAGTCTTTTTTAACGTTAATGCAAGATTACCGTGGGAAACTGTGAAATGAGAGGGCTCTGCTGCCAGAGCTTTCCCAGTGCTGTGCAGCCATGTCTGTCTCATCCTAGGCAAATGCGTACCTCTCACAATTTCAAGCACTAAGGTAAAGGCAGTGACATAAGGTCATTCTCAGAAAATACGGAAACAGTATCCATGAGGTGGAAAAACAGCTAAATTATAAAATAATATCATGTCTCTCTCAATTATGTGCTCATGCCTACTAATGGCCAATGCACTTGATATCCTTAGCGCCCCACTGAAGTTATGGCTGGTCCTGCCACCGAAAGTTATGGCTGTTCCTGAATGCTCTGATAATGATAATTAGTGGAATTTCATGCTCCTTTTTGCCTAGTAAAGAAGTTTAGATCTTTTCCCTTCTCCGTGGGCCTGGCTGGGGATATCTTTATGTTTATTACCTACAAGCTGAACATTTCAGAGGCTACTTTACATACCTTGACTTAAGCCTGCAGAGAAACGCACAGCACACCAGTGCATAGCCACCTGCTCAGTCCTACGTGAATCAGACAGGTAGGGGGATTTAAGGTGTTAGCCCTGACGTAAGAGACTCTTTCCTACGCTATCTGAAGAGTTACTTTTCTTGCCACCCGTGGCCACAGCTGATCCCAGCGTTAGCTAGAAAGCCAGTAATGCTGCTGACTTCATTGCTGCACAGGGACCATCGTAGAGACCTCGGTAACGTGGTTCTTCAGAGCAGAAGAGCCTCAGACGCTCCTGGGGAGTAGGAAAACTATGCAGTAATGATGCTGATCTGTTTTTCTCTCATCCTCCCCACCCTATTTCTGCTTGCTTTTGCTCCCTCCTGCCTGCGTAGGTAGAGAGAAGAATAAAGCCCTTAGAATTTGGAAGATAAAAGATGCTCAAGGGCATTAAAGCAGGACATCAGTGCAATCCTGAGGCTGTGCAGGTGAGACTCCAGAGCCTTCTGCTGCAAAATGCCTGCACTAATCCACTCTTGCCCTACTTACAAGTAGCTGTCAGTGTGGCTATTTGCAGCAAAAGCCACTTTAGCTTTTGGGCCAAACATCATAGGGTGATGAAGCAGCAAGGGTATGGATCCACATTCAGAGGGGCAAGCTCGCCCGACAAACGTGTTACTGCAGGCTAGTGTTCCTGTCAGGCTGTTTTGCACATTCTTGCACATTAAATAGCCCAGACTGGCAGATGTTGTGATGCTGTATACCAGCACCACATGCTGGTTGAGGCTATGCTAAAAGGATTTGCTAAAAGGATTTGAACCCTCCATTAAACTGCAACAAAACTGAAGGAATTCAGGACCCACAGCTCTTGATGCCGTGGGAAAGCCACAGCTGCCAGGTTTTAACTCCCACAGGAAAAGCTTCCCTTCTTTCCAGCCTGGTGATCTTGCCTCCTTCAGCTCCTCCAGGCTCCATACCTCATCTGACAGAGGTTCACCGTGCTGTGTAGCTACCAGTGCACGAGCCACGTCCAACTCCCTGATGAGTGTAAGATAAACATTTTAAAACTACTCAGACAATAGTCTCTTTAATGAAGAAAATGCCTAGACGCCAAAGATGGCAAATCATTGTAATTAGTAAAGTCTGTATATGCCACACAAAACAGCAGCGGTCTCTAGGGATGGAAGAAAACTTTCTGAGGCATGTTTGCATTGGTATATTAAAACATAACTCAGCAACTCTGACTCTTGAGAGTAGTAGAGAGATACAGCTCATCCTCAGAAGTTCAGTTTTGATTTTTACTAATGCTTCCTACCTTTGTGATAAATTAAACCAGAATGTGGAATGGAAGTGTTCCCAAAGCAGGGGTGGCTGATACCTTGTTCTACATTTAGATGGTTCAGTACCAGCCCAGACTGATCATAGTCAGTTTGCTCATATGGGATTAGCTTGCTCACAGAGCATCTGTAGGGCCTCAGCTGATCTGCATCCTCTCTGTGCTGTAGTTTCCCAATATGCAAAAAGCTAATCAAATACACTCTCTCTTAAAGCGCTTCAAAACTTACTAATGTTACAAGAGCTAAACATTAGTTTTTAAACTTATGAAATATCTGTTCTGTGATATTAAAATTCTGAAAAATACTTTTTGTCCCTCTACATCCTGTCAGTAAACCATTTGATGCAATGAATCTGCTGGCAGAAGGTTTCCCGTATTGCAGAGTGTGGCCTTTCAGAGTGTCTGTGGCAGGAAAAGGTGCTGAGGATGGCCAGGTACTCACAACCGAGGGCAGTGCCGCCTGGTTCCCGCAGCTCTCACAGGGAAAGGAAAGGAGCACCTGGCTCAGCCCTCACTGGGGTGAGGGGTACCGGTGTCACCGGTGGGTTCCCATTGTTCCTCTTTGAGTGAATGTTTGTGAGGAATTCCCAAAGGATCAAACCGTTGGATCACCCTCCTTCTTCAGTTGCCTCAGCATGAGAAA